GGCCCGATGGGGACGGACCCGCCGGCGACGGCACAACTGGGGTCGGCGCCACCGGCGGTCTATGCAGTAACTTCGTCGGCTCCCGCGCCGGATCGGTCCGACCCTCGCCGGCCGCACGCGTTAGGTTCCGGTGCTGCCGCGCCAGGTACGCCTGTCGGTGCTTCGCTCGGTACTCAGCCAGCTCGTCTTCTTCCGCAGTCCCCATTTCTTCCAACGAAAATTAAATATGAAGGTCACAATCAAAGCCGAAGAGCTCAACTACGCCATCTACAGACACCTCCTCGAAAACGGCTATCACCACTCCGCCTACCTTTTCCAACAGGAAGCGCAGATACCCAACACGCTCACGCAAGGCCAAATTCCCCAAGCCCAAGACACTGGCCTCGCCCGCAAAGGCAAGACCATCAACAACTTCCCGCCACACTGCCTCATTACACTCATACACAAAGCCCTGCTCTACCTTTGGGTAGAATACCACACTGACGCCGTAAGCCCCCCCCCGAACTCCGAACCTCCTCCAGAACCTCCCAACGTCCCTCCCCGCAGGTAACTGGGGAGCTGAACACATGCGAGTCGTCGTTCTCATTGTTCAAGCCGCACGTGTGTCGAAAGGTGGCCGCCGCGGGCAAGAAGGCAGTTAAGAAGGCTCCGCCTGGGCGGGGCCGTCGCGCGGCTAAGGAAGAGTTTTCGCTGGACACGAGCGCCGGACTCACCGTGCTCAAGGGCGGCGACATCGTCATGCACGCCGACCCACCCGACGCACAGAGCCAGGCCACCTTCCCCTGCCTCGCGCCCGACCACAAACACGTCCTCGTCTGGTGGGCCAACGACGCGAATCGAACCGGCGACTGCGCCCTCTACACACTGGAAGGCGAACCCGTCGACCTGCCGTCAACCGCCAAACAACTCCTCGGCGTCCGAGTGCTCCAGTGGACAGCACCCAGCGCCTTCAAAATTACCATCGCAGGACGCCGCGCAGACGTCACTCTTGACTTCCGCGACATCGATGGTACTTGGCAGCAATCCTGATCTCCCGCGGCAGTGTCCCTAGCCAGCACTAGTTAGTTAGATAGTCATTTCTGCAAAATCCGTGTCTCTCCAGCTGTGAACCAGGTACCGGTAAGGCAGGCGGAGCAGCGGCTCGGTGCCGGACGGGTCCGCATAGACCAAGACCTCCTCGCCCTGGACCGCGAGGCGAACGCTCTTCTTCTCGGCCCCTGCGAGTGCGGCCGCGCCTTGCTCGAAGCTACGGCCCGCGACCAGGTAACCGCGCGCCTGGTGTAGGTCGAAGAAAGCGCGCGGGAAGAGCAGCTGCTCGCGACCGCTCAGCGGGACTCCAACGACGAGGGCCATTTTTCGAAAATGCACCCCGCCGTGGTCGCCGCGAAGCCGCCCACCTGGCGCGTGACCAAAGAGTACTGGCTGCTCCGCCAGTACCAGGACCTCCCGGAGGACACTAAGTTCCTGGTGGGGCACATGCGCCAGTTCGCACAGGACTACCAGGCCGCGAAACCCGACACCTACTGGCATCGCAAAAGCGGACAGGTCGTACTCGCCGTACTCTTGTTACGCATACACGGGAAACTCCAAACCGTGCGCGGCATCAACTCCGAACTCTCGCTGCCGTCCGGCTCCGTCTGTGCGGAACGCGCGGCCATCGCCGCCGCTCTCGCGCAACACCTCTCCATCGCACGCAGCGACTTCGTCTCCATCGCCGTCCTCGCACCCAACAACGCGAACCCCATCAAACCTTGCGGCGTCTGCAGCGAATGGATCAAGAAAATCGAAGAAGCGTGCCCCACCTTCTCCGTCATCACATTCACCTCCACCGCCATGGACGAAGTAAGTCGACCCGACCTCTGGATACACCTGTGTATACACCCCTTTGCACCACCCCGCCTCTAGCCAGACCTCAACGGCGCCGCCTCGATAGCTGCTGGAGTACTCGAGCGTGACCGTGAGCGAAGAAGTGATTGACCACGTGCCAGACCACCTGAAGGGCAACTGGATCTGCAAGTGCGGCTTTCAGCTGAACCGCGCGCAGCAGGTGTACTGTTCGCACTGCAAACAATTCCGGTTCCGGTTCAAGTCGCACCTGCAGCAAACGCGCGTGTTGGTGTTAAAGGCGGTGAAGCACGAAAACTACCCGAACGCGGAAACGCCGCGGCCTTCGAACGGGTTGGAGGCGTCGCCGGTGCCGCCGACGACGAACTGGCTGACGGCCTCAGATGAGGAAGCGTCGGAGGAGGTGCGGCGCACGCGCCGGCGCGGAAGTCTGGACCTGTCGCAACTGTGTCAGCAAGTGGTGGAAGCGACGGGGTTGGCGGAGGAGGTGACGCTCAAGACGCTCAAGGACTTGCTGTCGCTGCAGTTCATCGCGCGTCCGGAAGGCTCGTGCGAGTTCCAGATCACGTCGCTGGGCTCAGACTTCCTGGAGGCGACTCAGCGGCTGGCATAGCGCTAGGCGCGACGGCTGGCCTTGTCGATGGGGACGAGGGGGCAGTCAGCTTCGATGACCTCCACGGTGGCGGAGGGGTGGACGGTGTAATCGTGGGGCTTGCCTTGGGGCGCGTGGGCGAGGTCGTCCGCGTTTTCGTGGTCGAGGGCGGGCGGGCTGCTGAGGCGGAAGATGACGTCGTGGTAGATGAAGGAGTTGGAGCCGAAGATGGCTTCCGAGTCGAGCTGCTCCTCGCCAGGGGGTGCGCGGCCGGCGTCCGTCATGATGGCGAGACACCAGAAGTGCTGGTTGCTCCCGCTGTACATGTAACTCAGCGGGTGCCAATGAAGCGTATGCCCGTTGGAAAAGGTGAACTGCAACATGGGGAACAGCGGCAGGTCTTTGTTTTTGTCCTGCAGCCACCAGCACTCGCCGTTGTTGTAGCCGTCCAGCTTGGAGATTAGTGCGCGCGGTGCCGCCCCCTCCATGCTCTCGGGCACGTCCAAAAAACCAACGAGGGCGTCGAGCGGTTCGTGCAGTGGGTCGGGACTGGGTTCGAGCACCGCGTACCAAGTCGGCCGGCTCTCCGACAGTCGCCGCCCGGGCTGTGGGAGCCGCCGCGCCAGCTCGTTGCGGATCTGTGCCCGCAATCGTCGGTCAGCGGTGCTGGCCGGCGAGTCGACGGCGGACACGCGAATGAGACGCTTCGGGCCCGTGGATACCGCGGCCGTGGCCACGGGGATAAACTCGAGCTGGTCGCCGCGCTCCTTTTCACTCATGAACCTTTCCCGCAGCACTACCGTCGTGTCGGGCGCACTGAACAGCGACTCCGGACTCACACGGCCTAGGCTGCGCGTCTGATACCGCTGTCGGTCCCGAATGCCCGTGTTAACAGCGACCCGGTTCTCTATGTGGAACAGGATCTCGCCAAAAAGCCGCGGCGGCAGATACGTCAATGTGGTCCCGCTGTCCACCAAAGTCGGCACGATGGCGACCACCTTTTTGTCCGATTGGGTCACCTGCGCCGGGTGGTGGAGGGGTACGTCGATCCACATGGAGTCATTTTTCTGGAGCGCAAAGTACTCGGGCGAGTGCAGAACCGGAGACAGTGTGGCGTTCTTCATCACATGGATGTGGGTCAGTCCCACCGTGTACGACTGCGACTTCCAAGCATGCGCTAGCAACGGGAGTGTCGTCCGCTTAGCCGCCTTGGCGTGGTACGCAGAGTTCGGTCCCCCAAAGCTCATGCTGCCTCCTTTGGGCGATAGACACAAAGCAAATTCGTAGCGGAAATCATCGCCTTCAGCAACCGCCTGCACGTTGTCAGAACATGTTACCCGTTTCGAACCTTGGTAAAGTGCTTTCATGCTGTTCAATATTGATGTGGGGAAAGTCGTAATTCCCCGCGTACCCCAAAACTCCAATCCCAAGATCCCCGATGCTTTTTGGTCGTGGAACAAATGTGTTTCCTCGATATGACATCCAACCGGAGCTATGATAGGCAACGATGGTCCCGGCTCCAAGGGGAATGCGGGACACTTGTCAAGCTCTTCGTCACTCGCCGGGGGCATGATGGTCGGATCCTTATTCTTAGCTTTATCGATGTTCATCCACATGACGTCATTGTAAAATAATCCTTGTAGTCTGCTGCCTTCTGCATAATGCACCTATAACAAAAGCTATAACGGGGCCGAGATATTCCGCCTACATTGTACAAGCATTGCATGGCATCCGCGTCTCCCAAAAGCAACTTAGCGGCTTCGCTGGAAAATTGACTCGGATCATCCGCATACGATACCAAGGGGGAAGCAAGGGACTGCAAGGTATCCTTATCGGTATTTAACCGACATGTGGTGCAGTTGCCACAAGGTATTCGTTCGTTAAACTCCGATTTTGTGATATCATATGGTTTCTCCCAATGAGACGATCCGCAGGATTGGCAATTCGAACAGGGCAGCCCTTGAGTGCTACTCCCCGTATCAATGATCATCGAGAACTCGTGGGGATGCGGTGCGCCGAGAAATATGTCGATGAAATAGTATGCGGTTTGAAATATCGAGCCAAAGACCTTAGTTCGTAAAGGCAGAGCGGGCAGATACTCTCCAACAGCCTTTTTCTGATACTCTTTGAAATTCTCCACCTCCCCGGCCGCGAATTCAGCGATAGAGAACCATTGTAGTAGCAAAAATGGTTGGGAGCGCATTAATTAGAGTGTTCGGCGCAGTGCCGCACACGTGTTCGGCGCATTCTTGGCGACTTGGAAATGACATCAAGGTTTAAAATAAGAAAAAATAGCAACCTCGGCTGATGCAAAACCGTGCACAAGGGGAGAAACGTTTGCTGAGAGTAACAGAGCACCCGTGGGACATTACCCGGCTGTATTTAGGAAATTCAAGCCATTGAAGAGGACTCTCGGCATAACCCGGACCCGGATGTGACGGCGCAATTAGTTCACGGAGATTTGAGGCACTGGATCGGTAGAATAAAAGGTCCGGTCGGCACTCCTTACGAAGGTGGATACTATTTCCTGGACATAGCCATACCAGAAGAGTATCCTTACGTTCCTCCCAAAGTAAGCACGGAAAGCCTGATATGGCCGCGGCCAAATGTGACGAGAGTACACCGTTATTGTGTTTAGATGAAGTTCGATACTCGTGTATGGCACCCCAATGTGTCGTCCCAGACTGGAGCGATTTGCCTGGACATTCTGAAAAATGAATGGTCACCAGCCCTCACAATAAGAACTGCGCTGCTGTCAGTAGAAGCATTGTTGGCAGCTCCGGAGCCAGATGACCCTCAAGACGCGGAGGTTGCAAACCTATGTAAAAATCATCCAGAACAGCACGCCGCTAAAGCCCGGCAGTGGAGAGATACCTATGCTGCGGACAAGAACTGGCCTTATGAGGCGAAGGTTAAGAATTTAGTAGATATGGGCATTCCTGCTGACCGTGCCAGGGTACGTTCATCTCTTCTCTTCCGCTAAATACTCTTTTTGCTCAGGCTGCGCTGCAGAAGCAGAATTGGGATGTGAATGCTGCCGCAAACGAATGCTTCGGAGATATGTAATTTATATCGGCTTTTTGGCCAAAGTCGCAACCACGACATGCACCATCCGTCCCGTGGCATGAGTTAAAAATTGGACACGTCTCCCCACTCTGTCCAGGGCGCCACAGCATCACGGGCGCATATTCCCTAGCCGTCGCCTGGAGCGCCAGTCCGCATCCACTGGCGTCTTACCGATAGGGGTAGGATGGAGATGGCTGTGGCAGCAGCTGCTGGGGCGGCATGTTGACTAGGATCGGTGTCCCGTCTGGCAGCGTTGCGACGACGGGGGTTCCGGCCATGGGGGTCCCAGTCATCGGGGCGCCCATCATCGCGGCCATTGGGGCTCCGGGCACGTATGGTTGTTGGTACTGGTACTGCGCGGGTTGGAAGTAAGGCTGAGACGGATACGGGAAGGGTCGCGGCGGTGGCGGAGGTGGAGGCAGCGCACGGACGAACGGGGATTGTTGCCAGGCTGGGGCGGACGAGTGGGGTCGGGCTTTGTGTTGTTTCCCGCGTTCGTGGCCGCGTTCCTGCTTTTGTCTGGTGCGCGTGGCAGGACTGGCTCGAGCAGGAGGACTGGGTCGAGGAGGGGCGCCTTCCTCGAGAGGGTCGTCCTCGTCATCCGACCAACGCTCTCTGCTCTCGACGGCCGCGACTTTGGCGGAGGCGACGGCGAAGAGTTCGTCTCCCGCTTTCGCGGTCGCGGTGGTGAGCTGGACAACATAGAATGGGGCACAGGTGGGGCCCATGGTGTCAACAATGTAGCCTACAACCCGTCGCTGGGTGTCGACGCAGAGAGTGGCCAGTTCCAGGATGGCATTACCGGTGGCGGACTGGACGGTGAGCATTTGTTCGACTTGATGCAGGACTCGGCCGACTGGCCGGAGCGGTTCATCCGGGTCCAGCTGCTGGGGCAGGGACTGGACGGCGGCCTTGAGTCCGGGAGGAAGTTCGAGGACGGTGGCTGCCAGCACGTCGTCGTCTGGGGCGCCATCAAGGTCTTCCGCAGCCGCGCTGGCGGCCGGCGCGGCTTCTTCGTGCGTTGCGGCCGTCGGGTGGTTTTCTTCAGTTTCCGTGGCGGCGTATTCCTCTTCCGCGGTGCTACTACTACTATCATCGTCGCCTTCGAGCATCTCATTCGCCTTGGCCATAGCCTCTCGCAGGGCTCGGTCGCGCTGGAGGGCTAGGGAGTCTTGGTCATTGAGGATTTCCAGGACTTGTTGATCAAGAGAGGCGTGCAAACCGGCAAATATCAGGTCGTCCACTGCCGTGCAACCGTCTATCATGTACTCCTGTAGGTCCGGAGCCGCGCCCGAGTGGCGCAGGGTGGGCGGGTTCGCAGCCCAGTCTTGAGCTTGGCTTATAATGTGGGCTTGGCATCCATCATGGGCTTGGTCCCTAACTGGGGCTTGGTCCCCGGCTAGGGTTTGGTCCACCGTGCTTAGTGCCGCTTCATCTTCTGCCGGCAGGACCATCCGCCTGCAGATTTAGATTTAAAAAAGTTGCCGCAGAAATTTGCCCAATGCCTTTTCGAGCTCGCGTAAGTCGTCAGAGTCCTTCACGTCGTACGTGATGGTCTGAAGGTTGCGACGGGTGGAGTGGGTGGGGTGGAATCTTACATGCTGATCATTGGTAGCTTTCGCTCTGATTTTGCCGTCGCAAGACTGTTTGAGCACCAGGCGCGTCTGAGGTGAGCCAGCCAGCATGGGTTGAGATTGAATCGGTTTACTTTGTTTTTGTCTTTGCGTTGGTTGGTGACCATGAC